CTGGGATTTTTCCAGCTCTTAAATTTGTACAATGTGTGTGCCATATTTCATCAAATACTTCAGCATTATACTTAAATTACAGACAATACCCCAAATGCAAATATATGAAATTGGGCAGATTGGAATATTTAGGAAATACATGTTTTATTTGTTTCGGAAGAGAATTGGGGATTATAAATGTTCAAATAAATGAGATTATTCTTTAATTGGTCTCTTTTCTCCAACTTTTCTTCAGCATTAAGTGCCATATTGTTGCAGATTTATGGTATAATTTTCAAACTTAGCAGTTTTGAATTCTAACAGAAGGCTGGGTTTTATTGGTTTTCTCGGCAATCTTAGTGGAGTGCTCTGTTAATGAACTTTTTCATAACATTCTTAGAAAGTATCCGTGTTATCTCATTGATAAATTGTGGTTGAAAATATATTAACAAATACAAGTAGTCCTCCACTTCAACAGTTCTTTAAGTTACCATTGAAACTTACAAGGGCACCAAAAAAGTGACTTGTGACCATTTTTCATACTTAAACCATTGCATCATCTCATCAAACAGGTGATCAAAATTCGGACACTTCACAATTTATGATGATTGCCATGTCCCAGGGTCATGTGTGATCCCCTTTTGCGACTTTCTGACAAGCAAAGTCAATGGGGAAGCCAGATTCACAACTGTGTTACTAACTTAACAATTGCAGTTATTCAGTTAACAACTGTGGCAAGAAAGGTCATAAAATCAGGCAAAATTCACTTAACAATTTTCTCACTTAACACTAAAAATTTGGGGCTCAATTGTGGTCATAAATCAAGGACTCCCTGTAATTTATTTTGAGAACTGGAAATATTACTGAAAAGCAATCTGAAGCCACAATATAGTTGCACTGCAATACCACCAGCAATGTAAATATCTGGTTGATTTGCACATTCTCAGCTGCTTATATTAATAATCACCTCCTCTTTTTTTCTATTTTCATGATGAGTCCATGTGAAATCAGTTGTCTCCTTTTGAATGTTTATGTACTCTTTAGAATTCGGAAAAATAGATTATCTCAACTTTAGTAAAATAGATTATAATACCACAAGTGCATTCACCTACACTATGAATTAATACTGGTTATTTTTAGAGAATAGTTGACATGGCATTATGGGCTGGATTGGGAAGTGAACTAGGTGATCTATAAAGTCCCTTTCAACTCTTCCATTCTGAGTGAGTCTGTATGTGACACGGATGGGTAGCGTAGTAGAGTTTCAATTTCAAATCCCAATTCATTCAGCACTGAGCTTGATAGATGACTTAGGACAGAATTTTTTTGTGGGCCGCAGAGCATCTCTCCCCCAGAGCACCCCACAAAGCAATTAATCCAGGCCGCGCAGAAACACAAGGCTGCACTGCCCACATGGTCCATGGGAACCCTCTCCACCCACTCACTCTTTACCTGGTAAACTTGCCTGCTAAATTGCTATTTTTCCTTTTTCCGATCATCATCTGTTCTGCTGTGCTGGGAGATTTAGATTAGCTAGGAAGCAGGAAATGGTTGGATTTCTTGCTTTCTAGCTAGTCTTTAGATCTTCGGCTCAGCACAGTCAAACCTCCCTTAGGACTGAAGGTTTGCTTGCAAGCAAATTCAGTGCAGACTCAAGGCAAGCAAATTTGATAGACTGAGCTAGTCGATGGCAGACAGATCACTGAATGATTCTGTGAGCAATTCAATATGCCTGCTTTGCCTGATTTTGGGTAAAAGTTGCTTTTTTATAAAAAAAATCAATATTTATATAAATATAATATTTACATACAAGCCATGCCCCCAGTCACATGACCACCAAGCCACACCCACAAACCAGGCCATGCCCACAGAACCAGTTAGTGGTCCCTGGGGTCTAAAATTATGAGTTTGGTGGTCCCTGAGGTCCAAAAGGTTGGCGACTCCTGACTTAGGACATATCTCCCAGTGTCTTAGTTACCTTTTTTGTGAAGATATAATAAAATGTACTTTTACCAAGATAGCAGTGTAGTGTGTCTATCAAACATTGAAGAACTCTTTTCTTGCTCTCATATCAAGTTGTCCTCTAAAGCTGAGCAAACCATCTGCCCATCTCTGGCAGCTTTGTTAACAGAACTTTTCAAGTGTTGGAAGCCTTTTCCTGCCTTGTTATAATAATATGTGAAGAGAATCTGCAATTGAACCATTTTCCAACCTGTTCTCCTTATTTTTAAACTATTACCCAACTTCTTTAAAAGCAAATCTTTCAGATATTTATTTTATGCATCTAGCCAAGGGCATAAAGAACCTTTTTACCCATTAAAGAACAGCAATTTGAGTCCTGATAGAAGTCTAAGCCTAATTCATCTCGATGCATATTCACTGGCACTTAGTGTTTTGCAGGTTCAAAGGTGCATAGCAACACCTGTTTGTGAAGGGTGGGGCAATGGCATTTCAATGAATATACCTGCAGGTGTTATGTGCTGCTGGGTCCTGTAGAAATGTTGACCGAGTATAGTATAAAGAAAAATAGCAGCTATTACAACTGAAAAGCCTGGTAATACAGATATACAGAGATAATCAAAAGAACAAATCATTTTCACTGCAGTTTCAAGTCTGGCAAAAGTATCATTGCATGTGCTAGCTAGATTTTCCTGTCATTCTGCTTAAACCACGTGACCCCAATGAAAAAAAACAATCCATCTAGATAAGGAGGACAAGAGAGAAACTATACAGGAGAAACCTAAGGTCTATTTTTTTATCATAGTAGAATAAAATGGGTTGTAAATCCAGAGCACCAAGGAAAGTATTTCCTTACCCAATGCAGAAGCCATTTGTGAAATTCACTCATTGTCTCAAGATGTGACAATGGCTTTAAAACTGCCTAAATTCATGGATGAGAGGTCTGTTCATGGTTGTTAGCTTTGATAAAATAAAAGGCTCATTTAAGCACTGAAACAGCAACCCACACAATGGATATTTTCCACTTTGGCCATAGGAGAGAGATTTTTGCTCTCATTTCTTACATTAGACAAACAATTTCATGCCCTGGTTTATGAAACTGGTTTGTATCATGCAAAGCATGTTAACATTAATTACCTTTAGGGTTTAGAAAAAGCTCCAAGCTCTGCTTATTGAAATCCTCCTTGCAGCTTCATTGGAAAATCAAAAGGGCAAAGGGTAGGTGCTATCTGGCTGTTGTTGTAGCTCATTCTCATGATACTAAACTATAGCTTGAAGCAATGGTTTTCAGCCTTTTATGCAAGTCCCTCCAATAATTCATATCAAGGACTTGGATTACCCCTCTCCCCAGATCAAACTGTCACTTATATACTACTAAAACTCTGATGTCTGCAACCTTTAACTGAATGAAACTGTGTATCATAGGACAACGCTTTTTCAACCAAATGTCTATGGAGCTTCTCAAACACCCAGGATCATAGTTGTCCCAAAGGTGCTTTTCTAAAGGGCTAGCTGCCTTTTGAAAAAGCACAGTTGGATTTTTCAGCCAAGGTACCTAAAATGGGCTAGCTTACAGAATGCATTTAAAATCCAAAATCCATGACTTCAGTGGAATTAAAATTTTGCAAATTATTTTACATGACTTCAGAAGATACTGAAAGTCCATTGTACATTTCAAAGCCCACTTGTTTTGGTTCCCCCCCTCCTGTACAGTGTAACTACAGTTCTATTATTGTGAAAGTTTTGGGTCTACTATATCCATATTTGGCTCTGTCTCTTTCCATTATAGGAACACAAGACATTTTTCCATATTTGTATAGTCTTCAGGGAAAAAAGGTTTGCCACACTTTTTAAAAACAATATCCAGCTATATTATTATTCCCCCTCCCTATTTCTGCTGGTGAAAAAATTATAAACTGCTGCTATACTCTGCTGCTCAACCCAGGAATGCATTTTTCCCAATGGCAATACTTTTATTAACTACACACATAAGCAACACAGTTACAAGATAATGTGAAATCTTTACAGTCTAATACTGTAAGCTAACTCTTAAAATGCTGAAAATGCAGGATCAAAATACATAAACATAGAAACAATATTGCAACCTATTCCAAATTAATAAAATCAATTCTGCTAATTAGAACACGTATTTAAAAAGAAATAAGAACTCTGACAAGAAACTCGTACTCTGTATTAACAATTTTTTAGCTTCCTTTCTTCTTCTCTGAATGGATCAAGATTTTCTTTGGCAGCCTGGAATCTTGGAAGTTGCCATCTTAACTCTTCCTGATAAATACATCAGGACGAACACCATTATATTCCAAATGTATTTTGTCAAAGCTTTGCTTTTCTAATGAAAACGCATGCATTCATGCATGCAACTGCACAGAAAGATACACCCCCTGCTTCCAAAACATTTAGCATCCTCCATTAAAACAAAGCTACACTTCAAGGTGAAGAAGACTCCTTTTCTTCTTTCCCCCAAATGCCATTTAAGTCTTGCAACGTCTACATTTCTAGCAGTTCTTTCTCTTCTCGTGCATGATGCTAAATACTGAACAGCATTCCAAAGAGTTAGCTATTCTGTGTTCTATTTCCTTTTCCTTCTAGTGCAGGGGAGGAACCGCGTCCTCTTTGCGAAACGATAGTAACCGGAGACTTTTCCGTTACAATATGCTGTTAACAAAAGATGTAATTCCACCAGCGTTGTGTGGGGAGGTACCATTGCCTTTTTTACCGTGTGCACTTTCATAGGTGATTCATTCCCCCCCCCCCAAGTCTTCAGATTGGCCAGGAAGGGCGTGCTTATTCCAAGTTGCTCGCCTCCAGGTTGGACGTGGGAATGTGTCCCTTTTGCAGCAAGCTTTTGGTTTCGAGGAAACTCTGTGCCTCCTTAATAATCCCGCCCAGTTCTCCACCCACTGCCTTCAGTCTTTGGTACAGTCTTGGTTTCCTTTCCTCCCTACAATGCTTTATGCTAATACGTGACATCATCACTAAATACACAGTGAGTGGCTACTAGAAATTACAAACGAGCAGGAAGGTCTGAGGTGTGCGTGAGCTACTGGAAGCGTTCGGCAGGCAGGCAGCAGGCAGGCGGGAGGGAGGGCCGCCGATGGCTCAGTGCTACCTCTGCGTTGGCTTTGATTCCGATTTGGAAACTAGGAAGGGGAGATCTGGAATTTTTTATTTGCCTTTTTTTTAAATTGGTTAATTTCATTAAGGTTGGCAACCGAAATCAGTTTGAACCCTTAGGATTGCGGGTGACGAGACTGCAATCCAAACACAGTGCTCGTTTCAAACTGCATGCCTTGATAAACCATCTGTTCGTGGATTACTTTTAATTTGAATGTGATTTTCAAGTTGGAGAAATAAAACATTTTTTTAAAAAAAATCTGGGATCTGCTTAGATTTTGTATTAAAGCACCCAGTGAGGGTTGCTACCCGATTTTTAACAAACACGAAAGGTTATTTATTTGTATGCTGGAATTTTAATATCCTACCACGTCCCTTCTAAATGGAATTACAGAACCCAGCTAACATGCCCGGATCCATGTCCCCCGGTTACACTGCTTCAGTGCCATATAATTATAACCAATTAGAAGGAAGATTCAAGCAGTTGCAAGGTAAGCGCCATCTCTCTCTCTCTCTCTCTCCTCCTCCCTCTCTCTCTCGCAAGAGGCGTTGCTATGAAATGTAGCTCAATAACACGATGAGGTGATTTTTGATGCTCCTTAATATGAAGGCTGATGAGACGGGAGAACCATCGGTTGCAAAATAATAGATGTTGGGTTGCATTTCTTTAAATCGAAGCTGATTTCCTTGTTTTCCTGTCATATGGTATTGTAAGCTTCTCTTGGTTCAACCTTCGAAACATGATAAAGGCTAACTCGGACCTTGCTATCTAGAACAATAGGGCAAGGGAAATGGGGAAGAGGGAGTGGTCTTTTTGTCTGAATTCCTTCTGGCGATTTACAGCATTCAGGTACTAATCAGATGATTCCTCTCTGATTCTGCTTAGATAATATGTACGCCTATCTATATCCCTCCAAGCCCTCAAAATGCCATTGGGATCCATTTATGCAGTGTTCCAAGACATCTTCCGCCTACTTGGGTAATCCCATTTTTAGCATTCCATTGATTGTGACAATCTTCCTCAATCGAGTGCCCTCCAGCTCCGGAGCAACTCCTAAAACTGACCCATCCTGATTAGGAGTGTTGGGAGTTGCAGTCAACAACACATCTATTCGAATTAAAGCTTATATTTTAGAGCCAGAGTAGGAAAGGATCTTTTTCCCAGTGCTCATTAATTTTTTTTCCCATTCAAAGTGACAGGAAGGAATTTTGCTGTTCTGGAATGGAATTCTACATGATTGATGAGAGTGTTTTTGATCATTTTACAGTTGAATCCTTAGTATATTGCAAGCAATGGAGTTTGGTTTCTGTGTTAATATGGTATTGGGTGGTGGTGGTGGAATTCTAGTTAGGAAATGAAACCAGCCCTTGATGGAATATCAACTTAATGTAAGATCTGACTTAGCTCTAATGACAGTAGCTCCTTCACAGATACACTCATTGTTTCTGGAATCACAAATCTATCCAAGGAAGTCAAAAGTTCAAACCACACAGAATATATTTCTTATTTTTAATCTCTACCATCCCACAGACAGGGAACTGTGGTTTCCTTCAGAAACGGAAAGGAACTTAAAAAAACAACAACTCTGGGGTTGTTACAGAATTACATTGTTATGATTCTATATTGGTATTTGTTTTAGTTTTCTTATTCACTGTATTGAGTTCATCCTTATACAAAGGTTTGTAAAAATAACTGCAATGCCAGATGCAAATTGATAAAATTGTTCCAAAGTTAAATATTGTAAAAGAAATGGAGATTGAGATAAATATAAAAAAATGGTTTCAAATTTTTTTGCTGTAGGATTTAGATAAATACAACAGCAACAAAATATTGCCTTGTGATACATCAATTCAGTTCCTTCCTGCCCCTCATTTTTTTATTTTTTCTCTGATAATTAGTGCTGCATTCTATGATCATGGAACATAAGCTTTTTAAATTTGTGCCTTAGTTCACCCCATACTCAGTGAGGTTGTTTTGAAAATGTGCAACGATGGTGCCTTTTGGCTACCAAAGGATTCCTATCTGGAAAATGAGATGGATTGTTACTATATAGCAATGAGGATGCAGCTTGTACTGTACATATGTGTATAGCATTCCCCATGTCATTTCCAAACCTCCTGAAATTAGTTGCAAAATACTAGATGGTGGTATGATTTTCCACAATTTTGAGAAATGAAGCTGATACAGTAAGTAATCTCTATAGACCTTTAAATGTAGCCTCCTTCCCCAACAAAATCAGGTGGAGAAAATGTACCTTCCTTCTATCCAGTCCCTTCAAAATGTTGCTGTTTAACCAGCAATATAAGCAGCCTTTGAGTGTTTTAAAAAAAGTTGCCTGACTCGGTAAAAACAAGAATGGTTTTCCATATTTAATGATGTATAGTTTCTTTCAAAGGACTGGCTTCCGCACAGCATATTTAGTAATTCAAGACCTATGGGCTGCATTTCTGCAACATGCTAAGGATTGTAATCTAGGCTAGCTTTTTGTGACTTAATGTTTTATATAAACCGATTCTACAGTACTAGATTCATTTACAGAATCAGTGATTCAGTGCATTTGAATGGAACCAGAACATTTTAATTCAGAAATGACATTTAGTATGTTGTATAAACTCTCCAATCATTAGTGTTAGGTGAAAAAATAGGAAAGTCCCATATTCAGTGAAGTAAAGCAGATTTGCTGTTTCTGATATTTAGGATTCATGTTTCTGCTTGAAAAATTGAAACACCAAGAAATGACAAGCATTGAAATAACTGCTTATTAAGATTTGTGACAATTCCAAGGTCATCCCTTCTCCTATACTCCCCTTCCCCATGCTTTACAGGAAAAGGCTTCCATCCCAGAACACAACTCAAATTTTGAAAGTTCAACCAATTAGAAAACTGGACTTCCCTTTGTCATATTGAGGCTGTTGTAGAAGGAGGGGAGGGGGAAAGACTGTTTAGAAAATGAACCACATCCACAACCTTTTAACTACATGGAACTTGTTCTAAATTCTCACTGACTTGTACTTTGGCTTTGAACCTGATATTGAAAAGAGTACTGAAATCTTGACATAAGGCAGCCTTCCCCAATTACTGCTCCAAGAATTTTGGATTTCAGTTCCTTAGTATTTGATTAGCTTTGCTGGCTAGAAGTGATAGAGGCTTGGCTAATCGGGACCAACAGGCACAGTGTGAAAAATCTGGTTTTAAAAATAGTCAGGAAATCTCTTCGGGTGTGGTCCTAAAATCAGATTGATCTATTTTCAATTATGTTGTGGTTCAAGAATGTGTGTTTTTTTAATAGGCAGTTGATTACACATGTATTTAAATTATACTCCTGAGTATCAGTTTATCTACCGTGTTTCTCATATAATAAGGCCGGGTCTTTTTTTTTTTTTGAGCCCCGAAAAAATGGCTAGGCCAGTGGTGACTTAATTCCCCCCATTGCATCTTCGGGCAGGTGGGTGGCGACGGCTTGGATGTTGACCTCGGCGTTGGTGGGGCACTTTGTATCGGGGTCAACGCAGGCAGCACCATATCCCGGTGTGCAACAAAAGTGCTTCCTAACGGCAAGCCCCCCCCCCGCCATTTCCCCCCATCTCGCATGTTTTAATATAGGCCTTAATTTGGGGGGAGGGGCTTAATTTCATTTCACGCCTATAAAACATGCTGGGACTTCCTATTGGGGGAGGCCGTATTGTTGGAGAAACAGGGTAGCAAAATTAAAGTGCAAATTCTCTGTAATTCTTGCTTTGTGAAAAGTATGCAAATCCAGTGCAATTTGATAGGGAAAAGAAGGGTTAATCATTGTTTCTTCATACTTCGGTGGAGGATTTTGGAATGTGGGGGGAATGGTGCTGACAGATTATGTTTGGGATAGGATTTAAATACAGGAAATCTTTGAAGAATGCACATCATACCAAAGGTTAGAATAAATTATAGTATACTTTTGCAAAGTCACTGCTGACAGCTACCAAGCTTTCCAAAGCCCACAGTACATTGTTTGGAGCTTGTTTAATTGGATAAATTGCTCAGAAAGGAGAACACTTCCTCTAGTCATTTATTTTGGATAAAAACAGAAAACTATCTTTCAACTGAAAAATGGAAAAGTAGCCCTACAGCTAAACTCTATGGTTCTTCATCTATGAATAAATTGGTACTGCATTAAGAGCCTAGTTTCTGGTTACAGATCAAATTTACAGTACTAGATCATGCTTTTAGGCTTCAATTTATGTTCTGCTAATCATATATAATATAAGAACAAGCTTATTTCATTTATTGTCACATTTATTTTTCTTCAGATATTGTTCCAGTTCTCTATTACTGTAACAACTATCCTGTGAGATAGGACAATAATAAAATTATTTTCCCAGCAGTGCCACTGAACCTCATGGCTGAATAGGACTGTTCTTGGAGCAAATCAATCCAGGGCTACATTTTAGCTTCCTGACAGTTTTAATTATATTTCTGCTGTTGACTCTCTGCGATATCTGATTATAATTAAAGTGAAAAATAATGATGTATTCTTTTTTTTCTTGGATGTACAAAGAATTTGGAAAAGAGTATTGCTTGGCTTCAAAACATCTGAAGAACAATTTGTTCCATTAATTTGGATAAGTTGGAGAGAATTAGGAGATGTCTCCCTTTCACAATTTAATGAATTCTTAGGAAAAGAATCCTCTTTAGTTTAAATCAGTGTCCCCCAACCTTTTGGGCACCAGGGACCAGTTCTGTGGAGAGAGTTTTTTCTGTGGACCGGAGGGGGCATGGTTGCATGTACTGCCTGCACCCCACAAATGGGGCTTTGCTTGTTTCTGGAATGCCATGGACGGGTGCTGGTCCATGGGAGTGGGGGACCGCTGGTTTAAATTCTTATCCTGAACTTTTAGTTCTCAGGAAGTGGGAAGATGCTTGCTTTTTTTTCTTTTTAAACTCCCAACCCCACCTGGTGGGAAATCCCCTGTATGTTTATGCTCTAGAGCAGCATGGAGGCTAAACTGCTATTAATTTAACAGTTTCCAGGTTTTTTCCCTTATTCCTAGCTAATAGATTAATGTAGGTGGTGATGGGGAAATGATTTCTGCACTTTACAAAACATTTGTACTAATCTTGTAAGAAAGCCTATGTTGGAAGTGACAGTGAGGGGATTTCAACTTTATTTTCAAATTCATATATTCCTATGAATATATTATGTTGAGGGAATGACCTACACACTACCTCAAGGAAGAGTTGAATCAATCTCTCCCTCCCTCCCTCCTTAATTTTGTGCATAATTTCAAAAAGCTGTTTCAAAAACTCATCCCAACCTGCACCCCAAATCTCCCAGGAGCTGAAGGCTGTTGTTTTCTTAAGCGAGTCCATTCACTTAACTACATTCTACTAATTTTAAGGTTTGATGGCCCTGAAAAAAGGCAACCTCTATCAAGTAATTATAAGACATGTCTTAGCTGCTAGTTGTTTCCTTAGCAACTCCATTTCTGAGCAGAAAGCTCCAATTAACTCCCT